TGGCTTTTCTTTTTTCTTATTTATTTATTTTTTGAGACAGAGTCTCAGTCTGTTGCCTGGGCTAGAGTGCTGTGGTGCCAGCCTAGCTCACAGGAACCTCAAACTCCTGGGCTCAAGCGATCCTCCTGCCTCAGCCTCCCAAGTAGCTGGGACTACAGGCATATGCCACCATGCCCGGCTAATTTTTTTATATGTATATATTTTTATTCAGCTAGTTTCTATTTTTAGTAGAGATGATGTCCCGCTCTTGCTCAGGCTGGTCTCAAACTCCTGAGCTCAAACGATCATCCCGCCTCAGTCTCCCAGAGTGCTAGGATTACAGGGTGAGCCACCATGCCTGGCCTGGCTTTTCTTTTAAATCGGTGTCTCTGCTCTCTTGGTGCTGGCCCCAGATGACGGGACAGGTCCCGACAAGATAGCCCACATAATGGGGCCCCCGGACAGGTGCGAGCACGCGGCCCGGATCATCAACGACCTCCTGCAGAGCCTGCGGGTAGGGCCTCGGGAGGGTGCTGGGGACAGTGGGTGCTGGGAGGAGGCCAGCCCAGCCTACTAGGGGAGCTCCAGGGCCAGCTGGCTTCCTGCACTCACCCTCCACCCTTCTTTCTTGCAGAGTGGTCCTCCAGGTCCTCCTGGGGGTCCTGGCATGCCCCCAGGGGGCCGAGGCCGAGGAAGAGGCCAAGGCAACTGGGGGCCCCCTGGCGGGGAGATGACCTTCTCCATCCCCACTCACAAGTGCGGGCTGGTCATTGGCCGAGGTGAGCGTGGCCCTCTGCCCTGTCGCCCACACCCCACTGGCACCTGGCACCCCTGGCCCTCCCTTCACAGTCTGTGGCTCTGCAGGTGGCGAAAACGTGAAAGCCATAAACCAGCAGACGGGCGCCTTTGTAGAGATCTCCCGGCAGCTGCCGCCCAATGGGGACCCGAACTTCAAATTGTTCATCATCCGGGGCTCACCCCAGCAGATCGACCACGCCAAGCAGCTCATCGAGGAAAAGATCGAGGTGGGCTCGGCGGGGGGCCTTCAGGTGCTTGGGCTACACGCCCTTTGCCTTCCCTGCTCACTCTGTCTGCTGCTCCTCCCTCCAGGGTCCTCTCTGCCCAGTGGGACCAGGCCCAGGGGGCCCAGGCCCTGCCGGCCCGATGGGGCCCTTCAACCCTGGGCCCTTCAACCAGGGGCCACCAGGGGCCCCCCCTCAGTGAGTATTGCTCCCAGCTCCCCGGGCTTTGGTGCGTGGGGGTTGCCATGCAGGCCACGGGGGCAAGAGGCCCCATTTCCAGTGACCCCCAAGAGAAGCCCAGCTGCCCTGCCGGAGCCCCTGCTCACTGGGGCCCAGTCCAGCCTGTTTTTGTATATGCCGTTGGAAAAGGTGCTGTTCTTTCCTACGGTTCACTTCCTGCTGTAAAGCACACCCTCATTCAAAGACAGCATTCTGTCTGTGCATAGTGAGTTTTGGGCCCTTGTGTTTCACGTCCTTGAGCTGACACCGTCTGTGCCCTTTGTGTTGCTGCCTGTGGCGTGCCCTTCCCCAGGCGCCCCGGCCTCTGGCCTGCACCCAGCGCTGGCCCAGCCGGGCGCCACTGCTCACGCATGCCCTCTTCCCTCTCCTTGTGCAGCGCCGGGGGGCCCCCTCCTCACCAGTACCCACCCCAGGGCTGGGGCAACACCTACCCCCAGTGGCAACCGCCTGCGCCTCATGACCCAAGTAAGTGGCGGCCCCCGGGCGAGGGCAGGACCTGGTCCCCACGCCCCCCCTCAGCCCAGACTCACCTTCCTCCCGCAGGCAAAGCGGCTGCCGCGGCCGCAGACCCCAACGCCGCCTGGGCCGCATATTATTCACACTACTACCAGCAGCCCCCGGGCCCTGTACCGGGCCCCGCACCGGCCCCCGCGGCCCCACCGACCCAGGGTGAGCCCCCTCAGCCCCCACCCACCGGCCAGTCGGACTATACGAAGGCATGGGAGGAGTATTACAAAAAGATTGGTGAGTCTGTGGCGTGGCTGGAGGGGGGTTCCGTCCTAACCGAGAGGGCACCCCCTGACCCTTCCCGTGCCCCACAGGCCAGCAGCCCCAGCAGCCCGGAGCGCCCCCGCAGCAGGACTACACGAAGGCCTGGGAGGAGTACTACAAGAAGCAGGGTGAGCAGCCGCCTGCCGTGCAGAGGGGGCCAGGGGCAGGCGGCCCTCACCCACCGCCTCTCACGCTCCCCTGTCCGCCCACAGCACAAGTGGCCACTGGCGGGGGTCCCGGAGCGCCCCCAGGCTCCCAGCCAGACTACAGTGCGGCCTGGGCTGAGTACTACAGACAGCAGGCCGCCTACTACGGACAGACTCCAGGTCCCGGCGGCCCCCAGCCACCTCCCACACAGCAGGGACAGCAGCAGGCAAGTGGGAATTGCCACCCTCCTCCTCCTCCTTTTTCCTTCCAACCCCCGGCCACCGTCCATCCTGCCTTAGTGGGTAGCGCCGGAAATCCCTTCCCCTGCGGGGTGTGCCCTTGATGCCTGCAGCGGGGGCCGTGTGGCCAGAGGTCTCCGGGAGTCCCCACACGCCGCCAGGGGAGCGCACGCTGGGTCCAGAGGTTAAATGAAGAGGCCTCCCTCCGCCAGCTGCTTGTTCCTGTGTCCCGCTGTGTGATGCTGGGGGAGAGCGCGAGACAGACTGGCGGAACTTTGGAACTGCTGGGTAGTCCTGGGGTGGGGCGGGCGGGCGCGCAGCGGCGCCCCGTCGGCTGCCGATCACCCGCAATCTGGCCACTTGGGAAGAAAACGTCTATTTTTTTCCCTTCTCTGCATCACTTTTTTGGTTTTTGTTCTTTTTATTCTTTTATTTTTTAAACCCAAGATCTCTTTTCCCGTGTCCAAGTGACTGTTGCAGGCAGCCTGGCTCCGGCAGGGACGAGGGGCTGGCCGAGGCCCCCGCCCCGCCGGGCTCGGCCTCTGCGCTCGCCTCGTGTCCCGGTCTTGTCTGTGAAGTGGGCATGAAGATCGTTGCCACCTTCCAACCTACCTCACAGGGGTGTTGTGGGGACACCGTGGTCTCTGACACTGTCATGTTGTGATGCGCCGGGAGTCGCCCGCCTTCCTGGAGACAGAGGGCAGCCCAGCCCTGAGTGCGCTTCTCTCTCCCCGCCTCTGCCCTCTGCGGCCCTGCTTCTCTCCTCCTGCTGTCCTGTCCTTCCTCCTCCTCCGTCAGGGAGCAGCGTGTGACTTCAGCCGAGGCCCGAGCTCTTGACTAGACAGTTAACAGACAGCGTCCTTCCAGCCTGAGCCAGAGCCAGCCGCAGTCTGGGAGGGGGCTTCCTGGCCCTGCGCTCGCGGGTGTCCAGCCCCTCCTCTTCCACCGCCCCTAGTGTCCCGCCCTCCCCTCCCGTAGTGACCGATTCCTATCTCTCCCTCTCCGCAGGCTCAATGAATCGAATGAATGTGAACTTCCTCATCTGTGAAAAATCTTTATTTTTTTTCCATTTTGTTCTGTTTGGGGGCTTTTTTTTTTTGGTTTTGGTTTGTTTGGCGAGAGAGCGATGGCTGCCGTGGGGGGTGCCGGGGGAGCCCTCCTGCGAGTGGCTCCGGGGCGTGCCGGCCCTCACTCTCTCGCTCATCTGTGTGTGTCTCACATGCTTTTCCTTTCAAAATTGGGATCCTTCACGTTGAGCCAGCCATAAAAGATAGCGAGAACTAAATCTCTGCCAAAAAAACAATTTTTAAAGTTAAAAACACAAAGCAAAACAAAACTTATAAAATTATATATATATATATTAAAAAAAAATCTATACCCCCACCCCCAGTCTTCTCCAAACTGCCTCTCTGAGGATAAAGCAATTCATTTTCTCCCCACTACCCTTGGCCCTTTTCTTGTTTTTAAAATAAACTTTTAAAAAGGAAAAAAAAGTCAACTCTTGCTATTTCTTTTTCTTAGTTAGCGTTGGAACATTCCTTGGACCAGGTGTTGGTATTGCAGGACCCCCCAGCAGCCGAGCCCCCCTCTCTCCTCTTCCTGCTCCTCCTGCTCCTCCTCCTCCCCCCTGGCTCAGCTTCCCCGCGGCCTGTCCCCCCTCCCAGGACTGGTCTGGTCTGTTGTCTTTTCATCTGTTCAAGAGGATATTGAAACTGAAAACAAAATAAGAACAAAACAAAAAAAAATTGTACGGCAGTTTTTACTTTTTATCGCTCGTTTTTAACTTCACAAATAAATGATAACAAAACCTCCCTGTGTCTGCCGGATGCTGTCTGTCTCTCTCTTTCCCCCCAACTTTCTCCTTATTCTCCGTAAAGTTTTGAAGCAGATGTTTGTTCTTTATCTGTGTTGTTGGTGGGGGGATGCCTGATAATGGTGATTGGAGATTGCGAGCTTTGTGGGGGTTTTTGTAAGAAAACAAATATAAAATAGTTTTCTGCAGGTGCATTGTGCTTTCTTAACTCTTTCATTCCCCCCCTTTTTTGTTAAATAAAATGCTTTTTGTTTAAAAAAAAAAAAAAAGCTGCGAGCTGGCCGCAGTTGTGTTTGCTGGAGGAACAAGACTCAGCCAGTGAGGTGCGGTGTGGTCCCCGGAGACTGCCCTGCTGCTGCAGGGAGGGGCGGCTGCGCCCAGGAGGGCCCCGGGGACAGGTGTTCCCATGGATTCGGCCGCCATGGCAAGAGCCACGCGCTGCGCCTCATGGGGCGGCCTGGCTCCAGCCTATTTTGCTAAGGTTTGGAGCCCTGAGGTGGGAGGTGGCCTGTGCCAGTGGGAGGTGACAGGCTGGCAGCACCAAGCAGGAGCCACTAACAGCTGCTGCCTCTAGGTGGGGCCGTCCCCGCCCTGGGGGCCTCAGGCAGGTCAGGCACCTGCCCGGGTGGGCATGTCTGGTGGTGGCCTCTGGTCAGCCCGCCTAGTGGGGAAGTGCACCCAGGAAGAGGGAAGCGTTGCTCTGAGGTCACGAGGGGCACTGGCCACCTCGCCAGAGGTCTCACCTCGAGGCCCCGCGCCCCTCTTGGACAGGTTCAGGCGAGGGGCACGGCCGAGCCCCCAGCCCCTCCCGTCTCTCTACAGACTTTCGATGACAGAGCAGCACTTGGCAAAGATGTTCTCTGGTGCTTCTTCTGCCAGGATCTAGGGACGGGGGGCACAGAGGTCAGGTCTGAGTCCTGGGGCAGGGCCATCTCCCTCCCACTCCGACCAGCCTGGGAAGAGCCCGGGCAGGTGAGGTGAGACAGATGGGAAAGGTGGGGAGAGCGCAGTCGGACGTTACTAGCTGCTGTGCAGAGACACGTGGCGGGGACGGGTGTGCGGGGAACTGCCCTCCAACTCCCCCGTGCCCTCCCGAGGGAGCCAAGGCTGGTTCCGGGGCATCGCTGCCACTCAATTGAGCCTCGGCTGGGGCAGGAGAAGGCACATCTCAGGCGTTTACCTTCAGGCGGGCACAAGGACATCACCAAAGTCCTTTCGTCTTCCTAACTGGAAGGTACAGGAGCTGGGTGGGTCACTTTAAGAATGTTAAGCTATCGCTGCGTCCACCTTGAGGATACAGGTGGATTTGAGCGGCACCGACTTGGACCCTTGGCCATGACCTTATGTTCTTTGGGTGGGTTCTAAAATGTCTTTAATTGCCAGCGTTCTGGAGCCAGTGGCTGTGCTTAGACCTTAAACCGTCATCACAACCCCGGGGGGCCGTAGCCTGCGCTGCCCCCCCCCCCACCCCGGGGGACCCGGGGCTGCTCGGCGACTGGCTCCCTGGGGGCCGGGGGAGCAGCGAGCAGGGAGCACGTACGTTTCGCAGCAGGTTCTTCCGCTGGTAGAAGGTCAGGACGGGCTCGCACAGGGTGTAGTGCGTCTCCAGGCGCCGCTGGATGGCCGGCTCCGCGTCGTCCGCCCGGCGCTCCACCTGGCCCCTGCGCAGCACGCGCCGGACCATGGTCTCCATGGAGCAGTCGAACACCATGACGGCGTCGGGGGCCCGGCCCACCTAGGCGCCCAAGCAAGGGGCCGTGAGGACGGGCTGGGCGCGCCGGCCCTCACGCCCCAGCTGCCCCAGAGACAAAGGCCGGCCGTCGGGGCCATCACACAGGCAGGTAAAGCAGCCTCGGGCCTCCCTGGCCTGTTCTGTTGTGTTTGTTTGAGTTTTGCAGATTTATCTTCCGGAGAGGCAGCACAGGCCGCTTGCAGCCACACCACATGCACGCACGCACACACAGGCACGCACGCGCGTGCACACACGCACACACAGGCACGCACACGCGTGCACACGCACACACAGGCACGCACGCGCGTGCACACACGCACACACAGGCACGCACACGCGTGCACACGCACACACAGGCACGCACGCGTGTGCACGCCACGCACACACAGGAAGGAGGGAAGCGGGGCCTCGCTGGCCCCAGGCACACCCTCCTCGCATTTCCCTCGGCAGCTCTGTCCCGTGTGCAGGGTACCAGCAAGCGCTCCCGATGTTCTTCCCCACCTTTTTATGCAAACGGGAAAGACACTGCCCTTCCCGTGACTTCATTCACTTAGCGGAGTTCCAGATGGTTCCACGTTGGCATGTAAGGCGTTTCCTGATCATTTTTGTTGTTGTTTTTGAGACATAGTCTCACTGTCTGCCAGGCTGGAGTGACGTGGCGTCGTCATAGCTCACTGCAGCCTCCAACTCCTGGACTCAGGTGATCCTCCTGCCTCAGCCTCCCAAGTGGCTGGGACTACAGGTGTGCACCGCCACACAGGCTAATTTTTCTATTTTTAGTAGAAATGGGGTTTCACCCTTGCTCAGGCTGTATATATTTCTTTCTCTTTTTCTTCTTTTTTTTTTTTTTTTGAGACAGAGTCTCACTCTGTTACCCGGGCTAGAGTGCTGCGGGGTCAGCCTCGCTCACAGCAACCTCCAACTCCTAGGCTCAAGCAATCCTCCTGCCTGGGCCTCCCGAGTAGCTGGGACTACAGGCATGCGCCACCATGCCCGGCTAATTTTTTCTATATATTTTTACTTGGCCTATTAATTTCTTTGTATTTTTAGTAGAGACGGGGTCTCGCTCTTGCTCAGGCTGGTCTCGAACTCCTGACCTTGAGCGATCCTCCTGCTTCAGCCTTCCAGAGTGCTAGGATTACAGGTGTGAGCCACTGCGCCCAGCCATGCTGTATATATTTCTATTTAACCCAGCAATTCTACTCCTAAGAATCTACCGAAAGGATACTAGCAAAAAGATGAAATGAGTGTGGCATTGTCTGTCGTGGCAAACGATTGGAAACAACTTCCTGTCCGTAGCAAGTCAGCTGAATGCACAATCGTGCAACCACAAGATAGAATACTATGCCGGTGTAAAAAGGAAGAAGATCTCTTTTTTTTTTTTTTTTGGAGAAGGAGGTCCTCACTTTGTTGCCCAGGCTAGAGTGAGTGCCGTGGCATCAGCCTGGCTCACAGCAACCTCAAACTCCTGGACTCAAGCAATCCTCCTGCCTCAGCCTCCCGAGTAGCTGGGACTACAGGCATGCGCCACCATGCCCGGCTAATTTTTTGTATATATATTTTTAGTTGGTCAATTAATTTCTTTCTATTTTTGAGACGGGGTCTTGCTCAGGCTGGTTTCAAACTCCTGACCTTGAGCAATCCGCCCGCTCGACCTCCCAGAGTGCTAGGATTACAGGCGTGAGCCACCGCGCCCGGCCTAAAAAGGAAGATCGCTTAATGTGAAATCTTCAGGATCTATCGTAAAGTAAAAAAAAAAAAAGTGAAGAATTGTATATATAGAATGCAAAGGAGAAACACGCACATGCACACACCTACTTTGTATTTACAGAAAGAAACAGGAGGCCGGGCACGGTGGCTCACGCCTGTAATCCTAGCACTCTGGGAGGCCGAGGCAGGAGGATCTCTTGAGCTCTGGAGTTCAAGACCAGACTGAGCAAGACCAAGACCACACCTCTACTAAAAATAGAAAAATTAGCCAGGCGTGGTGGCATGTGCCTGTAGTCCCAGCTACTCGGGAGGCTGAGAGGCAGGAGGATAGCTGGAGCCCAGGAGTTGGAGGCTGCAGTGACCTATGATGACACCACTGCAGTCCAGCCTGGACAACACAGCAAGACTCTGTCTCAAAAAAAAAAAAAAAAAAAGAAAAGAAAGGCTGGGCAGATGGCTCACACCCGTGTAATCCTACATTCGTGGGAGCCGAGCAGGCAGATAGCTAAAGGTCAGGAGTTCAAAACCAGCCTGAGCAAGAACGAGACACCCGTCTCTACTAAAAATAGAAAGAAATTAATTGGCAACTAAAAATAATAGAAAAAATCAGCCGGGCATGGTGGCGCATGCCTGTAGTCCTGGCTACTAGGGAGGCTGAGGCAAGAGGATCGCTTAAGCCCAGGAGTTGGAGGTTGCTGTGAGCTAGGCTGATGCCACTGCACTCTAGCCTGGGCAACAGAGTGAGACTCTGTCTCAAAAAAAAAAAAAAAAAAAAAAAAGAATGAAAAGAAAAGAAAGAAACAGCAGAAGGACAAACCAAGAACTCATGAAAACGGCTGCCTATGGGGGAAGGAGGGCGCAAGCCGGGGTGGGAGTGGCAGAGATAGAAACAAGATCTCTCTGGATGTACCTTTCTATGTGGCTTTGACTTTGGAATCATGAAATAATTTACCAGTTCAAAAATTAAATTTAGAAAAGCAATCCCTAAACATTGAAAAACAAACCGAAAGAAATGGCCCAACCGTGTGTCAATTTCATTACATAACCACACAGAGAGAATAATCATTTCAAGCGACCCAGTATTTGCACAGTGCGTCCATGGAGGGAGAGCCCGCCCTCTACGTCCGTGGGCTCCACATCCACGGAGTCAACCAACCGAGGATTGAAAATATTCAAGGGGGGGGGATTTCCATCTGTATTGAACAAGTACAGATTATTTTTCCTTGTCATTATTCCCTAAACAATACAGTGTAACAAGTATTTACATTGTATTACATCTTATAAGTAACTTAGAGATGATTTCCTGCTGTGTAGGTCATATGCAAACACGACCCCCGTTTTATATCAGAGACTTGAGCAGAGCATTCGTGGACTGTGGCACGCAACAGAAGGCCTGGAGCCAATCGCCCCCAGATATGGCGGGACAACGGTTTATTTATTTATTTATTTTTTTGAGACAGAGTGTCACTCTGTTGCCCTGGCTAGAGTGCCGTGGCGTCATCATAGCTCACTGCAGCCTCCAACTCCTGGGCTCAAGTGATCCTCCTGCCTGAGCCTCCCAAGTAGCTGGGACTACAAGCATGCGCCATAACGCCTGGCTAATTTTTCTTATTTTGGTAGAGACACGGATCTCACTCTTGCCCAGGCTGATCTCGAACTCCTGACCTCAAGTGATCCTCCCACCTCGGTCTTCCAGAGTGCTGGGATTACAGGCACCAGCCAAGGTGCCCGGCCAGACAGTTGGATTTTATGTAAGGAGAACGAGAGCTGCAAAGAAATCTTAACTTCCTTCAATAGTTTCATTTTTTTTTTAATTTCTTTTTACATTTTAAAAATTGACACATAATAACTATACATGTTTATGGGCTACATAGTGATGTTTCAATACATACAAAGTAGTTCTATTCTTAGCAGTTAATACGGGTACATTGTTTGAAACTACTGTGTAGCTACTCACCATGCAAATGAGTATGTTAATGGTATTAGGAACTGAAATGTTTAGGGAAAGAGAAAAGATAGGCAAAAACACTAAATGTTACATGCGAACTGGAAATATCAGGATAAAACTGTGACCTTTTTTTCCTCTCCTTTCAAGAATATATGTTTCCGGCCGGGAGCAGTGGCTATCGCCTGTAATCCTAGTACTCTGGGAGGCCGAGGCGGGCGGATTGCTCCAGGTCAGGAGTTTGAAACCAGCCTGAGCAAGAGCGAGACCCCGTCTCTACTATAAAATAGAAAGAAAAATTGGCCAACTAATATATATAGAAAAAATTAGCCAGGCATGGTGACGCATGCCTGTAGTCCCAGCTATTCAGGAGGCTGAGGTGGGAGGATCGCTTGAGCCCAGGAGTTGGAGGCTGCAGAGAGCTATGATGACGCCACTGCACTCCAGCCTGGGCAACAGAGTGAGATTCTGTCTCAAAAAAAAAAAAAAATGGTATCGAGGAATTAATGTTAATCATCTCAGACGTGGTGACAGCATAATGGTTTGGTGAGGAAATGCCCAGAACCGGATCTGGTATGTGCTTTAAAATACATAACTGGCAATTGCAATGACGAGAGGTTTGGGCAAAGATACAGCTCGTGTGGCCAAACCATGATGGTGGTTTGGCCTTGGCATCTGGGCTTGAACTTATGTGCATATGTCTGAAATAGTTTCATCACAAACATACAAACGGTTTCTTTGCCAGCTTTTTTTTTTTGAGACAGAGTCTCACTCTGTCGCTTGGGCTAGAGTGAGTGCCGTGGCGTCAGCCTAGCTCACAGCAACCTCCAACTCCTGGACTGAAGCGATCCTCCTGCCTCAGCCTCCTGAGTAGCTGGGACTACAGGCATGCACCACCATACCCAGCTAATTTTTCTATTTTTAGTAGAGACGGGGGTCTCACTCTTGCTCAGGCTGGTCTCGAACTCCTGACCTCAAGCGATCCTCCCGCCTCGGCCTCGCAGAGTGCTGGGATTACAGGCGTGAGCCACCGCGCCTGGCCGCTTGTGGGCTTTTCCACTCCGGGAACAGCGTGCACACACGCTGGCCACAAACACTTCCCTCTCCTGGCGAGGGCAGCGATGGTGACGTGGTGTCTTTGGTCTCTCCCATGCCTCCTGGGCAGAGTCACTGGTTGATTCAGTCTGTGTCCCCACATCTGCATTCGGCCAGTGTTTAAGACTTGGAATTCCATCAACTTCCTTTTTCTACTTAACTTTTTTTTTTAAAGACAATGATATCACTGTGGTCAATAGAACGTCAATGTCACCTGCGAGGGAGGTAACTATAAAAACATTAATAAATACACACCAATGTCAACTTCCTGATTTTGATGTTGGACCAGGTCAGGACATCCCCGTCGTGGGAGCTGGGCAAAGGGTGCATAGGGCCTTTCTGCTATCTCTGCAACTTCTTGGGAGTCTATCATTAATAAAGAGTTTTTAAAAATACATAAGTAGGCAGGGCCTGGTGGCTCACACCTGTAATCCTACCTAGCTCTCTGGGAGGCTGAGGCAGGAGGATGGCTCAAGGTCAGGAGTTCGAAACCAGCCTGAGCAAGAGTGAAACCCTGTCTCTACTCAAAAGAGAAAGAAATTAATTGCCAACTAAAAAAGAGAAATTGTAATTGGCCAACTAATACATAATAGAAAAATTAGCCCAGGCATGGTGGTACATGCCTGTATTCCCAGCTACTAGGGAGGCTGAGGCAGGAGGATCGCTTGAGCCCAGGAGTTGGAGGTTGCTGTGAGCTAGGCTGACGCCACGGCACTCTAGCTTGGGCAACAGAGCGAGACTCTGTCTCAAAATAAATAAATATATAAATAAACAAACAAACATAAATATTGGCTGGATGTGGCGGCTTACATCTGTATTGCAGCACTTTGGGAGGCTGAGGTGGGAGATCACTTGAGGCCCAGAGTTCCAGACCAGCCTGGGCAACATAGCGAGACACCATCTCTACAAAAAATTATAAACAAACTGAGTATGGTGGTGCATGCCTGTAGTCCCAGCTACTCAGGAGGCTGAGGCAGGAGGATTGCTTGAGCCCAGGAGTTGGAGGCTACCGTGAGCTATGATGATGTACTCCATGTACTCTACCCAGGCTGACAGATCAAGACTCTGTCTCACAAAACAAAAAGACAACACCCTCAAATCCTCTTTTATCCCACACTGCAGGTGGCACTTTGGGAAACACCAACCCAGACACATGACCTCTGTCCCTGGGTGTTTTGGGGACTGTGCCCGGATGCTCCCACATAGTCCAACCTAATTATAATAATTGGAGCTGCACATGCGTCCCCTGGGCATGTCCTCCCCACTGTCCCGCGAGCGGGAGTGGAGCGAGTGGCTTCTGGGGGGCAGGAGGGTTCATTCGACCTACACTTACGCACGGCCACCACGGGCCATGCCAGGCTCCCCATATAAGCAGCCTTGGGCCTCGGCCCCTTGGAGCTGCCATTCTCACGGCAGATGTGACTGAAGCAATGGTAGAGACATGCGAACTGCCACCAGAACACGCTCACCCCGCCCCAGTCACAGAGATGCTTCTAGTTTTTCTGTCCACGTTGGCAAAAGAGAAAACAGAGGCTCCAAGAGTTCAGTCGTTCTCGTGGGCTGCAGGATACAGCAGGAAGTGGCCAAGTGGGATTAGAACCCCTGACCCCAAAAACCCTTAACCTGGCAGCGCTAGAGCCCACGGGGCAGGAGGCAACCTAAGGAAACCTTTCATCTTTGGGGCTCAGTTTCCCCGTCTGTAAAATAGGGGTGACGGCTCTGGGGATGCCAGGCGACTCAGAACCTCTGGGCAGATGCTAAGGCGGAGGCCACCACCAACTCAAATGCCTGCAGGGGGGAGCCTGGCAAGGGGGGGAAGGTACACCCCTTCCGTGGTCTCCCGGTGAAGAGGTGACAATCGGGGCTGCCTGGACTTCAGTCCTGCCTCTGCCACCTCAGTGGTGGGTATGACCCTGGACAAGCCGCCCCATCCCGCTGCGAAAGATCAGGGTGCTAACGCCTGGAACGTTCGGGAAGATGAGTTCATCCGTGCAGAGTGCTGGGAGCGGCGCTGGGCTGGGTGAAAGCTCAGGGAGCATTCACGCTGCTGTTGCCATGGGGACGTGCAGGCCCCGCGTTGCCAAGTCAGTCGGTTTTCAAGAGGAGCTGCGGGTTTTGATGTGGAAGCGCCCCATTGTTGAGTGCTGGCCGAGAATGCAAAAAAGGAACCGCGAAAGGCTGCGCGGGCCAGACCCAGCGAGCCGGTGGCCGACCAAACGGGGGTCGGGGTTTGCGGCCTCTGCTCTGAGACTTTGCGGCCACCCGTCGGAATCCTTCAGTTGGGCACCTGCTGTCGGCCAGGCCAGGCCTGGGGCTGAGGCCGGCCGAGGGACGGATTGGCCTTTGCCCGCCAGGAACTCCCAGTCCAGGAGAGGGCGCCCGAGAGTCGCTCTGCTTTCCTTTTTTTTTTTTTCCCCCCCCTGTATATTCAGACAGAATTCTTTTCTTTTTTTCCTGGTTTTGTTTTGTTTTGTTTTTGTTTTTTTTGAGACAGAGTCTCTATCACCCAGGCTACAGTATAGTGCGGAACTCCTGGGCTCAAGCGATCCTCCTGCCTCAGCCTCCTGAGTAGCTGGGACCACAGGCATGCGCCACCATGCCTGGCTAGTTTTTTTTTTTTTTTTTATTTTTAGTTGGCCAATTAATTTCTTTCTATTTATAGTAGAGACGGGGTCTCACTCTTGCTCAGGCTGGTCTTGAACTCCTGACCACAAGCGATCCTCCCACCTTGGCCTCCCAGCCCTGGGCCACTTGTTCTTTAACCTCATCACAATGAGCCGGACAGAATGGCTCCTGTGGAGGTGTGGGCAAAGGGCAGGGCTCTGTCCTCTGCCCGTGGGGACTGCTGCCCCAGCCCCCATGACCTCTGATTCTGTCAAAGTGCCAGGACTTCTTTGAAAGGGATTTTAGCTGGGATCCAGCAAGTCCCAGAAAAGCCTAGAAGGCCTACCGGCCAGTTTCTCTTTTCCTGCTTAACCATTTCTAAACAGAATCAAAGTGATCCTCCCATCCCCCACAGGTGCACAGCGTCATCGCTGTTTGGGTGCTTGCCGAGACCTTTCAAAGAGTCCGCACTGATGTGTAAAAATAACCTGGGCTGGATGCAGTGGCTCATGCCTGTAATCCCAGCACTTTGGGAGGCTGAGGTGGGAGAATTGCTTGAGCCAAGGAGTTCAAGATCAGCCTAAGCAACATAGTGAGACCCCATCTCTACATAAATAGAAAAATTAGCCGGGCTTGGTGGTGGTGGCGGCGCCTGTACTCCCAGCTACTCGGGAGGCTGAGGCAGGAGGATCACTCGAGGCCAGGAGTTGGAGGCTGCAGTGAGCTAGGCTGACGCCACTGCAGTGCAGCCTGGGCGACAGAGCAAGACCCTGTCTGTAAAAATACAAATAAAATAAAAATAAAAAACCTGAAGAAATTCAAATTCACTCCAACTTGCCCAGTGCCACCTCCTCCCCCTCCACTCAGCGCTGCAGTGTCCCCATGTCACCACCTGGACCACATGACCTGAAATAGCCCACTCCTGTCCCTCCAGATTGCCATTCTGTTTGTGGTGTTCACTGCCCTTAACCACGACCAGAAACATCTATGTTGAGAGCAGGGACTGTGTCTGTCTTGGGACCTCTGTACCCCCAGCCCCAAGGACAAGGCTTGTCTTAAGAACTACTCGGAGATTTGGCAGGAGGGTGTCGAATAAACACATGAATGAATAACTACATTCATTCATTCATTCATTCATTGGGAGGAGGCTGAGCCCACCTGCTACTCAGTGGGCAAAGGATTCATCCACCAGGTGGCAGGAACCAGGCAGAAAGATACTGAAATAACCTCCTCCTTGCTCTTAGAGAGCTTGCTAGTGTCTTTCCTGGGTTCTAGAAGCTTCCAAGACCCTTACTGTCCCTTGATAACAGAACACTCCAGGAGGCTCAGCCCCTCTGGTCTCCAGGTGGGGAGGGACACACACGCACACACACTTTGGGGCCACTCACGATGCGCTCAAACTCCTGGGCCTGCTTCAGCTCCCGGGGGAAGCCGTCGATGAGGAAGCCCCGGCTCTCCGGGTGGGACAGCATGTTGTCACTGACCATATCTAAGACGATACCCTGGGGAGGAAGGAGGTGGATTCAGCGCCCGAGGGCCTGTCTCTTTCCCCGCCCCTCACCCTGGGGCGTCCAGTTTCTACAAGGGTCACCATAGCAAGCTCTGGTCCTCAGGTGAACATGAGGTGACAATGTCCTACTTAGTGCCCTGGATTCTGGGTCTGCCCTGATGCCCTAGGGAGACCACTGCTGAGGACTGGGTGGGTGTCGGCCAGATGCCGGGCCTGCTGGGTGTCATTTCCCTCAGTGTGTGAGGTGCTGGGTTCCCCTGCATGTCACAGGCCAGGAAGCGGCTTTGGAAGGGGCCAGTGACAGTCGCAGAGTCACAAAGGGAGTAAACACTTGCTGATTGTATCGGGTGATTCTTAAGTGCCAGGTGTTCTGCTAAAAACACTGGATGGGGTGATGTCATCCCAACCTCTCTATGGCCTTTTGATGTGGTCTCCCCATTTTACAGACAAGAAAATAGAGGCTCGGCGTGGCAAAGCGGTGGCCAAGCCAGAAGCTGAGGCTCGTTCCAATGTACCCTCTTCCTCCCTCTCCCCGGGCCCGTGAGCTCTCACCGTGGGCACCAGGAGCCCCTGCCGCATGAGGTCGTGGATCTGCCGGCCCCGCTGGGTGCCTCTTTGGGCCTCCTGCCGCAGCAGCTGGCCCAGCCCCACGTGGCAGAGGCCGTACTTGGTGGCCATATACTTGCACTGCGTCCCTTTGCCACAGCCTGGGCCGCCCATCACGAAGATGATCAGGGGGGACTTGAGGATGTCTGCGGTTCGGGGAAGAGGGAGGGGATGGGTTAGCACCTGGGGTGTGCGGGGGCAGCGGCCCCGACGTGAATGTGTCCACAGGTTAGTTAGTAGAGCGTGTCCTTGAGTGACACTGGACGCAGGTCTCTTGGCATACCCCCTGTTGCCCTAGGATGGCCTGTGTGAGCACGTGTCTGTGCTCAAGGGTGTAGCCAGGCATGTTGTGAGGACGGGCTGCTGTGGGTTGCGGTGGATGAAGATGCGAACTTGAACCGGCAGGCCCCTTTGCACTTGGCATCTCCCTGGAGCATCGCAGAGACTCTGTTATCCCATTTTACAGTTGAAGAAAACGAGGCTCATCCCATCCCCCCATCCCCTGCCTTCACTCTGTCCCAGCCAGCCCCAAGTTCCCCTTTGGGATCCTTTTTTTTTTTTTTTTTGAGACAGTCTCACTTTGTTGCCCAGGCTAGAGTGCCATGTGCGTCAGCTCACTCACAGCAACCTCAAACTCCTGGGCTCAGCAATCCTGCTGCCTCAGCCTCCCGAGTAGCTGGACGGGGACTACAGGCATGCACCACCATGCCGGCTAATTTTTTCTATATATATTAGTTGGCCAATTAATTTCTTTCTATGTACAGTAGAGATGGGGTCTCGCTCTTGCTCAGGCTGGCTTCGAACTCCTGACCTCGAGCAATCCGCCAGCCTTGGCCTCCCAGAGTGCTAGGATTACAGGCTTGAGCCACCGCGCCGAGCCTTAAATGCCTTTAAAATGCTGACGTTTCAACCTCCCCTTCAGAAGAACAGCCACAGCTTGTCTGAGGTTCATTCCCCCCCCCCCCCCCCCCCGCACATCCTCAAAATCTTGGCTTAAGAAACTTCCATTGGCTGGGCGTGGTGGCTCACGCCTGTCATCCCAGCACTCTGGGAGGCTGAGGCGGGAGGATCGATCAAGGTCAGGGAGTTCGAAACCAGCCTGAGCAAGAGGGAGACCCCGTCTCTACTATAAATAGAAAGAAATTAATTGGCCAACTAATATATATAGAAAAATTAGCCGGACATGGTGGTGCATGCCTGTAGTCCCAGCTACTTGGGAGGCTGAGGCAGGAGGATCGCTTGAGCCCAGGAGTTGGGAGGTTGCTGTGAGCTAGGCTGACGCCACGGCACTCACTCTAGGCTGGGCAACAAAGCGAGACTCTGTCTCAAAAAAAAAGAAACTTCCATTGATTGAGATTTTTGCCTCAGTCATTTATTTGGGTTGACAATTCCTCTGGTCACACCTCAGCCATCAGTCCTTTTCTAAGCTGCATCTAAAGAACCTCATTTCTTCCACAGCAATGGCCACAGTCAGTCCTGATTTCTTGTTTCCTTGTTCTTGGTGGTTGCCCCCGCCCACAGTGTACCTCATGAGGGCAGGGACTATTTCTGTCACGCTCACCCTGTATTCCCAGTAGTTGGCACAGTTCCACAGTTCCTACTCATAGTGGATGAGGAATAAATGAATGTCCAAGGCTACCAGACACATCTATAGAGTCTGGGTTTTTTTGTTTGTTTGTTTGTTTGTTTTGCCAGAGTCTCACTCTGTTGCCCAGGCTAGAGGGCCATGGTGTCAGCCTACTCCTGGGCTCAAGCAATCCTCCTGCCTTGGCCTCCCGAGTAGCTGGGACTACAGGCATGCGCCACCATGCCCGGCTAATTTTTTCTATATATTTATGGTTGGCCAATTAACTTTCTGTTTTTAGTAGAGACGGGGTCTCCTTCTTGCTCAGGCTGGTCTCGAACTCCTGACCTTGAAGGATCCTCCCGCCTCGGCCTCCCAGAGTGCTAGGATTACAGGAGTGAGCAACCGCGCCCGGCCACGGAGTCTGTTGTTGATAGTCCAATTTTTGTGCCTTGCTTCCCTCCTTTGCTTAGCCAACTCCTATACATCCCTCAGGGCCCAGCTGAAACCTCCTTTCTTCCCTGAGCTCTCAGAGCCGGCTGTGCTGCTTCTGTTCCCTCCTGAGTTCTAGATTCCCATGTTATGAGTCTGTCTCCTCCACCTCGCTGTGCCCTCCAAGAGGACAGGGAGCTGGTTGGACAGATTCTCTCCTTGGGGGGCCCAGAACCCAGCATGTGCGGGCGGGAGCATTTCCGGGAGGGATCGAAGGGCTGAATCGTGAGCATGCGCAGTTGTGTTACTGCCATGATGGGGGGCCTGCTCCTCCCTCCCTGTTCTCGACGGCCTCCTTCCCTCTTCCCCCAGTACCCCAGCCACCCCGCCATGTTACCCTTCTCCTTCGGCCTCAGAGGCCTGCCCGTCTGGGGTAGCTTGGACCTGCACAGACCCATCCCGCCGGCAGCCCCTGGGGTGGTCCCGCCCCATCCCCACCCAGGCCCTGACCCCTCCTGGCTCAGCTCCACGTCACAAAGGACCCTGCCCCGATCACTTTGCGGGATGATAGGGTCCCCTCCCACTCCTAGAGCAGGGTGAGGACACGAACCCCAAACATGCTCAGGAGGAGAAAGAGTTCGACCCCACAGAGTAGGCCTTGGTTGCTATGGTGATGGAGCCTCCTTGGACTCACTTCCGGGGGCGATGGCGCATGCGCAGAGCGCCCAGGAAGCCACGATGAGGGACTCCCTTTTACTTCCCTACCCAGGATGCCCCGCGGGGGCTTATGTGAGGACTTAACGAAGGCGTGTACCAGATGATTAAGTTAATGCGCTATATAAGAGCGCGCCTGCGACAGGAGGCAGTTCGTCTACCTCAGACTCAGGCTGGGTTTGTTGTGTCTGTTAAAGGGGCGGGGGGGGGGAGGTGAAGCAAAGGTGACAGTGTATTCGGGTGACCACAGCCGCCGAGGGGTTTCACTTCCGGGTTAGGCGAAGGCCCAGACGGATCTGGCCGAGCGCTGCTTCCGGGTGACTGTTCTCAGGGACCGTGGTGTCTAGGGCTTGGGGTCCTCGCTCCCCAAGCGACGCCGAGAAGGCGGCTTCCTCGGGGACTGAAGGACGTGAACTCCGGGGGAGACACAAAAGGATCCGGGTCGCACCGGACCCGAGCCCCTGACCGTTGCCCATGGCGGCCTTAGTGAGTATAAATGAGGTGGGCGTCGCGGGTCCCGGCGCCGACCCCCGCAGCCCCGCACTCATCATCCGCCTCCTTTCTTCCAGGGCCCGGGCAGCCAGAATGTCACCGAGTATGTCGTTCGAGTACCCAAGTAAGTCCCCGGCCCCACCGCTCACTCCCCACCCCGCAAAGGAATTAAAACCTTCACGAGCTTCTAGGCGTTTCTGGCCCTGCCTGTGGTTCTCCCTCCAGACTGGGAGCGACTTAGAGGGCAGGGCTGGGGTTAAGCTGAGGCCTCTTTGGGGGCGTCACTGTTGTTTGAATGAATGAATCAGTGCATTTCATACACTGCACGATTCAGCCCCTTGGCCCAGCATTCAAGGCCTGTATGGTCTCTCGATGCCAGGACTGTAGCCCTAAGGACATCATTCTTCGTTGTGTTTTCAACTGGTCAGGTTTTTGTCCTTTCCAGGCCTTTGTTCATGCTGTCACCTGTTCCAGGAGTGGCTTGCTCTCCCCCTTTTCCCCCTCAGTTGTGACTGTTGGGCGGATTCTTGTTGATCTTACAAAACCCACTTCCAATATTTTCTTCCTTCAGGAAGCACACACCCTGCCTTCCTCCCTCCTTAGGGCTGAGTTCTCAATTAAACCCACATCTCGGGTTCCCCCAAATCTTTGTCCCTCCTTCTGCTCTTTCCATGGGGTCAGGAGGGGACAAGTGCAGCTTCCCTGACAGACTGGGAGTCCTTGGAGTCTTTTAGGAGTCCCCAGCATTGCCCAGCACAAAGGGCTGAGCCTGGGTGGGTTTGATTGAATGATTGATTGAATTAACACTGCCTCTTCTTGCTCTCTCCAGGAACACAAACAAAAAGTATAACATAATGGCATTTAATGCAGCTGATAAAGTCAACTTTGCTACTTGGAATCAGGTAAGTCCCTGGTCTTGGGGGTGGGGGGACATAAAAGAACATGACCCTGGACTTAGTGGTTGTAATAGTTGCTTTTTTAAAATTTTTTTATCCACATCACCAGCTTGTGAATAGTAGTTGCTTAGATGTAATAGTAATTAAGGCTCATATTCCTGAATTCTCCCCAAGTGGAGATAAAACAATGACAGAGGCCCAGGCTGAGCTGCTGGGTGTCCCTGTAAGATTTGGCAGTCCCTGCAGGAGGCCTTCTCCTTAAAGGGGATCATCTAGAAGTTGTGCCCGCTGATGGTCATTTTTGGCCTAGATTTATCTGGACAAGGGAGTGGGCTGAGCTGAGGGCCACATCCTACAGATAGCCCTAGAATGCCTGCTGTCAGAGGCTCTAGAAAGGACTTTGGATCCTGGCAGGGTGGTGTGTGCCTGTCGTCCTGGCTACTTGGGAGGCTGAGATGAGAAGAATGAATTCAGCCCCAGCCTGAGCAGGCAACATAGCAAGACCCGGTCTCCAAAAAAATAAAAACGAATTATTACTAGAAAGGACTTTGGAAGCCATTAAAGGGTTTTCAGCTGGGAAGTGATCTGGCCACTAAAGGGAGACAAACTGGGTTTGAGGACAGAAGACGGAGGTCAGGATGGAGGCAGCCGCCCTGGTCCAGACGAGTCCTGGGTGGGCATTGCAGCCAGTGGGAGGGTCTGAGGGGTGGCCCGACTCTAGGGTGTTTTGGAAGTGGAACCAACAGGGTCTGTTGGGTGATTGGATACTGAGGGGTGAGGGAGAGTGAATCACAGCTGATTCCATTTACTGAGACAGAGAAGCTCAGAGAAAGCAGAGTTTGGGTGGAGTCTTTGAGAATTCAGTTCTGGACATCTTGTGTTTAAGCTGCTAGTTGGACAGCAAGAGCAGTGGTAAGTAAGCGCTTGGGTGTATAAGTTGAGAGATGGAGATGGAGGATCTGGGTGTTTGGTGGCATTCGAAGCCACGGAGGCTGGACCAGCTCAGCAGAGGAGTCTGCCTGAGGTCTACAGTTGGCAGCTTCAGACCGTCCCACGGTGGGCAACTCCTGGTGTGCTTCTTGTCTGCGAGCTCAGTTCTGTCTTTGGATTACTTTAAAATATCGCCTCATCCCTGGGAGCCAATGAAACTGTGCTTGAGAGAGGTGATAACATTTCTGTGTGGGTGTTGGACAAGTGAGTGTTTGCTCAGGACACTCTCTTCCCAGGGAGGAAGGTCACCGTCCATTTGAAAGCTCGTGGGGACCCTGCCTTCCAGGATTTCCAGCTATGTGTTCATATACAAACAGACTTTCAGCTGGGCATGGTGGTGCACACCTGTAGTCCCAGCGACTCGGGAGGGTGAGGCAGGAGGATCACTTGAGCCCAGCAGTTCGAGGCTGCAGTGAGCTATGATGCGGCCACTGCACTCCAGTCTGGGTGACAGGGTGAGACTCTGCCCATTCATAAATAAATAAATAAATGAAATGAAAATTAAATTAATTATTTAAAAAAAAACCAGATTTTCACATTCAGTGCATACTACTCCATCCTCACGGTTGAGTTATATAGTGGTTTTAGATCAATGTTCAGTTTTCCCTGGAGTTTTTAAATATGCTGTAATTTTAACATTTGTTTAGTTCAGTTTTGTTTCTTTTTTCCTGAGATGGGGTCTTGCTGTGTTGCCCAGGCTGGCCTCAAACAAGTGCACCCAGCTCGGTTCATTTAGTTTTCTTCACCAGCTCAGTCCAAAAGCTTCCCCTAGTTGTGTAAATCTATGTCTAAGTGCATTAAGTATCTATTATATATTAAATCTAAGTATATATTAAATCTATGTCTCAGTTCCTTCCCTTGGAGTTTTCCCTCCCAGTTTTCCTGCCCTGCCAGAGCCTGCTGACCTGCCCCGTCTGCACTGGCTGCTCTCCCCCTGCCCTGCGTCCTGATCTGGGTGGCGTGGCGTGGCATCTTCTCTTACCTTTCCCCTTGGTTTTCTCCCACTGTCTCCCCTGATTTCCCATTTCTTGGCTCCTACATTGTTGTCTTTCCTGTTTCCCTCCTTGTTTTAATGAAGCACACCCTGGAGTAGCTCCCTGAAAAGGAGGTATGGGAGGTACGCTGTGAGTGCTTGTGTCCCTAAAACTACCTTTATTCTCACCTCATGGTTGATAGCATGGCTGGCTATAAAATTCTGGACTGGTATTCATTTTCCTTGGAATTTTGAAAGCAGGGCTCCATTGTCCTTTTGCTTCCTGGTGTAGCTGTTGAGGAATCTTTGCCATTCTCATTCTTGATCTGTTTGTTGTATTAGGAGTCGGCAGACTTTTTCTTAAAGGGCCAGTTAGTAATCACATGTAGCTTCTTTGGCCAGTCTCTGTCCTAGTGATCTGCTCTGCCATTGTAGAATGAAAGCAGCTATAGACAGTAGTAAGTGAATGGGCATGACTGTGTGCCAATAAAACTTTATTTAAAAAAACAGGCGGCCAGGGCTGGGCGTGGTGGCTCATCCCTATAATCCTAGCACTCTGGGAGGCCAAGGCAGGCGGATCTCTCAAGGTCAGGAGTTCGAAACCAGCCTGAGCGAGACCCCGTCTCTACCAAAAATAGAAATTAATTGACCAACTAAAAAATATGCATATATCACCAACCAGGCATGGTGGCACATGCCTGTAGTCCCAGCCACTTGGGAGGCTGAGGCAGTAGGATCGCTTGAGCCCAGGAGATTGGGGTTCCTGTGAGCTAGGCTGACGCCATGGCACTCACTCTAGCCTGGGCAACAAAGTGAGACTCTGTCTAAAAAGAAAAAAAAAAACAGGCGACCAGCCCATGCCAACTTCTGTTTTATATAAAACCTGTTTTCCCTCCTCCCTGGGAGCCAATAGGATCTTCTCTTTGTCCCCAGTGGTCTGAAGTCTCATGACAGTTGGAAGTATGTGGGTCTTCTTGCCTTGTTCAGTTAACATGTCTTGGCAACTGTTCTATACAGTTGTCTCTTTTCTTTCTTTGCTTTTGTTTCTGGCTGCATGGTGTCCGTTGTATGGAGGAACCCCAGTGTATTTAACCAGACCTATTGCTGTGCATTTAGCTCCACTCCCAATCTTTAGCTACAGCAAGCAACTCTGTCATACTGCCATCCCCAACCCCTAGGCTGCCGACTGCTACTGTCCGTGGCCTGTTACGGACCTGGCTGCACAGCAAAACATTTTGTGTGTCTGTGGTTTCAACCTCTGCTATCTCTAGAAGAATCCTTAGGGTAAGCAGTCTGTGCATTTTATTTTATTTTATTTATTTATTTTTTTTTGAGACAGAGTCTCGCTTTGTTGCCCAGGCTAGAGTGAGTGCCGTGGCGTCAGCCTAGCTCACAGCAACCTCAAACTCCTGGCTCAAGCAATCCTCCTGCCTCAGCCTCCCAAGTAGCTGGGACTACAGGCATTCGCCACCATGCCCGGCTAATTTTTTATATATATTAGTTGGCCAATTAATTTCTTTCTATTTATAGTAGAGACGGGGTCTCACTCTTGCTCAGGCTGGTTTCGAACTCCTGACCTCGAGCAATCCGCCCGCCTTGGCCTCCCAGAGTGCTAGGATTACAGGCGTGAGCCACCGCGCCCGGCCAGTCTGTGCATTTTAAAATGCAGCATAAGTGAGACTATGTCCCAAAAAAATAAAAAAATAAAATGCCGCATAGACTGCTAAACTGTCCAAAGATTGACCTTTTTTTTTCCTTTTGTAAGACAGTCTCGCTCTGTTGCCAGGGCTAGAGTGCCGTGGCATCAGCCTAGTTTACAGCAACCTCAAACTCCTGGGCTCAGGCAATCCTCCTGCCTCAGCCTCCCTAGTAGCTGGGACTACAGATGTTCACCGCCACTCCCGGCCTTGCCAAAAGATTGAAATTTGGAAAAAACTCATCCGTTAATGGCATCTAAATTTACGGGGCAATGCAGAGTCAAATGGAGAGTTCCAGGGAGGCAGTTTTTATTTTTTTGGTTTGTGTTGTACCACTCCAGCGATCTTGTTTCTATTTTTTTTAACTTTTAATTTGGAAATAATTTCAAACTTTCAAAAAGTTGCAAAAAGAAACAAAGCACAAGGCTTCACCCAAGTTCCTTTTCCCCAGATCCACTAAGCACTCCCCTCCCCTCTTGCCAAACCAGAAGTTGGCTTTGCGCTCCCCGAGCTCAGTGTGGGGAGAGCGGAGGGTCTTCCTGGCGGGTGACACAGCCCGAGCAGAGGCAGGACCCTGAGAGATTTCGCTTCTTGTTTCCCCTGCAGGCCCGGCTGGAACGGGACTTGAGCAACAAGAAAATTTACCAAGAGGAGGAGATGCCCGAGTCGGGCGCAGGCAGCGAGTTCAACCGCAAGCTCCGGGAGGAGGCCCGCAGGAAGAAGTACGGCGTTGTGCTCAAGGAGTTCCGGCCCGAGGACCAGCCCTGGCTGCTCCGCGTCAACGGCAAATCGGGCAGGAAGTACGTGGCGGGGAGGGATGGGTGCCAGCCTGGGGACCAGCCCACATCTCCGTCGTTTCCTGTCGCACACTTTGTGGGATGCCCTCTCTGAATCTCAGTTTCCCACCTGTAGGATGGGGGCGCCAGCACTTCTGCCCTTGCGAGGTTTTATTTTTGCAGATGAACCGGGTTGGTGCTCGTGCCTGGCTCTGTGGCAGCTCTGAGTGCCACAGCGCAGGAAGCCCAGGTGGCCGGCCCTGGGGGTGGTTTATGATGTTTGGGATGACGCCTCTCGGAGAGGGCGACCCGAGCAGGAGGGGTGAAGGTTGGGTTGATGAAGGGCGGGCCATGCCGTACAGTGCGTGATGGTGACAGACGGTAGGCTGGCTGCTGCAGGGCAGTGGGTGCCAGGACGGGCCGGACCCTGGTCCCAGAGGAGCCCTGGAAGGCTGTAGGCAGGGAGGGGTACGCAGAGCAAGTTGATTGGACACAGGGGGCAGAGGAGGATGTGTCAGGGGCCTCTGAGGAGCTGGACAGTCGCTTAGCCTCCAGGACATGTGGCCCTAGTCGAGTGCCCACTTCAGGTCCAGCTGTGACTCCCTGTCCCATCTCGGTCCTGAACCCGGGTCCCAGCTGCAGCCCGTGAGCGATGGTGGAACCAGAGGCAAATCTAGATGGGTCAGCCCCCAGGGCTGGGCTCGGCACGGCTGATCCAGCCCAGTCCTCACGGAAATGATGATGCGCATAACACGCCCAGCTCTGGACCCGCTCCGCAGGGCTGCAGCACCAGCCCTGCTCCCCAGATGCGGAAGCTGAGGCTCAGGCAGTCGGAGAGCCTCTCCAGGGCCTCACGTAGTCCTGGCTTTTCGAGGAGGCAGGGCCGGGGCTGGTCCCCTGACTGTAGCTCCCTGCAGGTTCAAGGGCATAAAGAAGGGAGGCGTGACAGAGAACACGTCCTACTACATCTTCACCCAGTGCCCCGATGGGGCCTTCGAGGCCTTCCCCGTGCACAACTGGTACAACTTCACGCCGCTGGCCCGGCACCGCACGCTCACCGCCGAGGAGGCTGAGGAGGAGTGGGAGAGGTGACTGAGCTGGGGGCGGCCAGGGTGCGGGAAAGGGAGCGTGTTGTGTTGCCAGGCCCTGTGCTGGGAGCTGGGGACTCAGTGGTGGCTGGGGCAGACCCTACGCCCCCCTCACGAGCTCTCAGGGCAGTGGGGGGGACAGACTCGGGACCCGTAGGGCCGAGATGGGGGTGTGCAGGGCACTGAGGGCCAGTGTTGGAGCCCGAGCAGGGATCAGGAGAGCAGGGTGGGTCCGGCTGCCCCCTCAGTTTCCCCAAGCCTGGGGCCGGCTCCTCTACGGGGGTTGGGGGGGTCCTGGGAGGGGCCTCCTGAGCAGTGGCGTCAGTTGGGGTCTCGAGGCAGGGTGGGTAGAATGATCGGCAGGTGGCTGCACAGACATCGTGCAGGAGGCCAGAGCAAGGTGACTGTGGGAGGCGGATGAGGCTGCACCAGGCCTCGAACGCCAGGCTGAGGATGAGACCCCCTCAGGGCCCCCACCACCCTGGGCACCCACGCATGGCAGGGAGGGCGCTCTGAGCAAGTCTGCAAAACCGCATTTGTGCACGTCCAGGGTTAGCAGATGCTCACAGAGTTTGTGGCTTCCAAAAGGATAAGAAACACCTCCCCCCTGCCCCCCGCTTTGCTTAATCATTTTGTTTAGTTTTTACATTTTTGAGTGAGTTATAGGTTGACTCACCCCAAAAGCAACCCCAGTAAAAGGCAGGCAGGGCCCGCCCTCCCCAGCCCGGATCGGTGCAGCGCCAGGCCTGCGGGTCCACGTGTCCCTGCTGCTCTGTCTGCTCACGCCGGTCAGAATTTCCCTCAGGCTGGAGTGGAGTGGTGCAGTCATAGCCCACTGCAGCCCTGCTCCTCCCACCTCAGCCTCCTGAGTAGCTGGGACTAAAGGCCATAGCACGCCCAGGTAACTTTTTCTATTTTCAGTAGAGATGGGGTCTCCCTCTTGCTCAGGCTGGTCTCGAATTCCCGGCCTCAAGTAGTTGTTCCACCTGGGCCTCCCAAAATGCTGGGACTATAAGTATGAGCTACTGCACCCAGCCTCTGCTCTTGGCTTCCAGAAGTGTTTTTGGTTGTTTCATTTGCTGTATTTTCTTTCGAGTCTGCTTTGTAAGTTCATTAAATGCAGTGTCACTCTTTAAAACATCCATGGGCAGTGGGATGATGTTACTGTGTTCCACTGTTGCCATGGAGACATCAGTCTGCCTTCTCATTAAAGAAAAAGTTAACCCAGGCCGGGCACAGTGGCTCACACCTGCAATCCCAGCACCCTGTGAGGCCGAGGCAGAAGGATCTCTTGAGCTCAGGAGTTCAAGACCGGCCTGAGCAAGAGCGAGACCTCATCTCTACTAAAAATAGAAAGATGAGCTGGGCGTGGTGGTGGTGCCTGTAGTCCCAGCTACTTGGGAGGCTGAAGCAGGAGGATTGCTTGAGCCCAGGAGTTGGAGGCTGCAGTGAGTAGGCTGATGCCACTGCATTCTACCAGGGGTGACAGAGTGAGACTCTCAAAAAAAACAAAATAGAAAGAAAGAAAAAGTTATCCATAAACTACGATGACAGAAGACCAATGTGAACGTATTGGGGCAGATTCTGTGAGTCGGAGGGAGGTGCAAGACACCAACACCGCGTGACCCTCCTTCTGGTGGGACTCAGGCAGGGAGGGAGTCGACCGGTGTCCTCCCTGTGTGATCTGAGGTGTCCCTGCCGCCTGCTGAGTCCCCGGGAGGGTGGGGTCAGGGCACCTTTGCGGTCACTCTGTGGTGTCCCTGGGCCTGCCTGGTGCAGGCGCAGGGCTGGTGGCCTGTCGTCAGCCCCGCTGTCCCCACCAGGAGGAACAAGGTGCTGAACCACTTCAGCATCATGCAGCAGCGGCGGCTCAAGGACCAGGGCCAGGACGAGGAGGAGGAGGACAAGGAGAAGCGCGGTCGCAAGAAGCCCAGCGAGCTGCGCATCCACGACCTGGAGGACGACCTGGAGATGTCGTCTGATGACAGTGACGCCAGTGGCGAGGAGGGTGAGGCTAGGCGGTCCCGGGGTGCCTGGGCCTTAGTTCTTGGAGGTGACAGGTGGGTTAATGCTGCTGGAAGGAAGGTGTCGCTCACAGTGGCCCTGGAAACGAGAGACTCTGGAGGCCACCCGGGGAGGCAGGGCAGGCGACCAGGCCACCAGGGCTGTGGCCTGTAGTGGGAACCCTCAGAGGGTACTGTGTAGGGTTGTCCAGTCTGAACGGTTCTGGGGCGCCCTGGTTGCAGGGGCTGTCGCTGGCTGGCTGGCTGGCGCCTGGCCAGGGGCGATTCAGGGCAGGGGTGATCGCCTGGTGTGCGAGCAGTAGAAGAAAGCCTTGGGCTGTGGGCTCTGGCCTGGGCGTTTGCCTAGGAGAGGCCACCCTGGGCCTGCCCTTCCAGGAGCACTGGCTGGACCTAGGGGCTGTGTCCCCAGCCAGCCAGGCCCTGGGATGTCAAAGCACCACAAAATATGAGAACCACAGTTCCTGTGTGCCCTGAGCCGCCCCTTCCTCCCCCCGCGCCCCCCAGGCAGCAGAGCGCCCAAGGCCAAGAAGAAGGCGCCACCCACCAAGGCGGGCAAGAAGAGGAAGAAGAAGAAGGGCTCGGACGACGAGGCGTTCGAGGACAGTGACGACGGGGACTTCGAGGGCCAGGAGGTGGACTACATGTCGGACGGCTCCAGGTGAGCAGCTGGGAGGGGGCGCGGCCCGGCGCTGAGCCACTCCCGGTGGCCGTGGTGCCCGCGCTCACGCTCAAGCGCCGCCTGTCTCACAGCAGCTCCCAGGACGAGCCCGAGGCTGGCAAGCCCAAGGTGCCGCAGCAGGAGGACGGGCCCAAGGGTAGGCCACGGCCGGCCGGGCTGGGGGGTTGGCCGGGCTGGGGGCGGCTGCACCCCGCCCACACCCTGCCCTCTCCCCCCACCAGGTGTCGATGAGCAGAGCGACAGCAGCGAGGAGAGCGAGGAGGAGAAGCCACCCGAGGAGGACAAGGAGGAGGAGGAGGAGAAGAAGGCGCCCACCCCGCAGGAGAAGAAGCGCCGGAAAGGTGGGGCTGGAGTGGCCTTGGCATTCGAGGCTCAGGCTGGGCTCCCTCACCTGCAGCGGCGGCAAGGGTGGGTGCAGGGTCAGGGCCGCTCTGGTCCTGATCCCCGGCCTGTGCCCCTGCAGACAGCAGCGAGGAGTCCGACAGCTCGGAGGAGAGTGACATCGACAGCGAGGCCTCCTCGGCCCTCTTCATGGCGGTGAGGCCCAGCCGGGGCCGGGGCGGGGGCAGGGGCAGCCCGGCGTCCGTTTCTGGACTGACATCCCCACCCCACCTTGACCTCTGCAGAAGAAGAAGACGCCCCCCAAGAGGGAGCGGAAGCCCTCGGGAGGCAGCTCGAGGGGCAACAGTCGCCCAGGCACGCCCAGCGCGGAGGGCGGCAGCACCTCCTCCACCCTGCGAGCTGCCGCCAACAAGCTAGAGCAAGGTGGGTGCCTGGTGTGTCCCCCGCTGTCCCGAGAGCTCTGGCCAGGGAGGGGACAGGGAGGTGGGGACGGAGGCCTGTCCCTCCTTGAGCTTCTTGTGCCCGGATCCTGGCACGCCCAGCCTGGCATCCTGCCCAAGGGCCTGGCCTCCCCATTCCCAAGATTCAGTGGGACCCTGCTCTGACAGGGAAGCGTGCGAGTGAGACCCCGGTGGCCAAGCGGCTACGGCTGGAACCTGGGCCCCAGAGCCTGTCGGGCAAGTCGACCCCTCAGCCGCCCTCGGGCAAGACGACGCCCAACAGCAGGTGGGTTGGGGGGGACAGGGATGCTGGGGCGGGCGGGTCAGCCGGGGAGAACCTTGTTGACGCCACCTCCCTGCCGTCTGCTCAGCAGCGACGTGCAGGTGACCGAGGACGCTGTGCGCCGCTACCTGACGCGGAAGCCCATGACCACCAAGGACCTGCTGAAGAAGTTCCAGACCAAGAAGACGGGGCTGAGCAGCGAGCAGACAGTGAACGTGCTGGCCCAGATCCTCAAGCGCCTCAACCCGGAGCGCAAGATGATCAACGACAAGATGCACTTCTCGCTCAAGGAGTGAGGCCGCCCGATAAACAGGCTCTTCCTCCGCCACTTCTCGCCTGTGTGTGCTCACTGCCCGGGTCCGCCGCCCTTTCGTGTCCCTCCCCGAGTCCCGGCGCCCCAGTGTTACCAATTCTGAAAAGCCTAAGAGGTGTCCTCCTCCAGCCCCTTTTGGAACCTTCAGATGCGTTAGACCCTCTCATACCCCTCCTCCTCCTCCTCACTGGACCTGTCGCACTGACTGAGCCCGTGTGCTCCCCGAGGGGTGACTTCAGCTCTGCCTTCCCCTTCACGGGGCCTCTCTTCAGCCTGATTGTCCACTGTGCAGCTCTTTAGACATTTAGTTTGTCAGTGACTCCATTTTCAATTGCTCAAAGTGGTCTTTGCTTCCTTTGCAGGTCACTGCTCTCTTTGGATAGTTTACTTTTTAAATTATTATTATTATTTTAGAGACAGGGTCTGGCTCTGTTACCCGGGCTAGAGTGCCATGGCATCAGGCTAACTCACAGCAACCTCAAACTCCTGGGCTCAAGCGATCCTCCTGCCTCAGCCTCCTGAGTAGCTGGGACTATAGGCAGGAGCCACTGCACCTGGCTCATGTTTTTTTATTTTTTTTTTTATTTCGGCATATTATGGGGGTACAGATTTTAAGGTTTCAATAAATGCCCTTTCCCCCCACACACACACAAGTCTGAGTTTCCAGCATGACCATCCCCCAGATGGTGCACATCTCACTCATTATGTATGTATATACCCGCCCCTGGCTCATGTTTTAATTTTAAACATCCTTATAGTCTATCAGACGCATCTAGAATTGAAGTTCATGGGCCTCCTGTTATTTTCTTGTGCTGTGTAATTCGGGACAGGTGCTCACTACCAGCTGGGGGCTCTTTATCTGCGAGCATCCTGCGTGGCCTACTTTGCAGGCAGGTCCTTCCAGATGGTTCTGCCTTCGCTTCTGCCAGCCACCGGGGGTGCCGTCCCACGCCCATTCTGTGTGGTTCTCAGCTCGGGGACTCTGTCCCTAAGTGGCCACCAAAGCCTAACCCTCCTGGTTTCTGGGCCCTGTCTCAGCTCCCCACGATGTTTCTGGGGCTCCCCTTGCCTCTGTCCGAGCTTGGTTACGCAGTGCCAGGCGCTCTGTATGGGGAGGGCTTATTCAATTTCCTGTGGCTGGAAATGGAACTTGGGTGCAGCCACAACTTTGGAACCCCTCTTCTGAGTGACCCGGTTAGGGGCAGGACGTCGGGCTTCCGTCTTGGCTGTGGTTGGAAACTGCAGGTGGAAAACTTCCCCACCCAGTTCTGTGGGCCCTTGGCTGCCGAGTGGGGATGCCTGAGATATCAGGCTAATTCCTAGGAATGTCCCTGTCAGTGCAGCCCCCGCTCCGCATCCTCCCGCCAGGCCAGGCAGGAAAGCAGCGCTGGCCCCTTGCCCTGGCACTTTCTCCCCTGCTGCCCCTGTCATGTGGACCTCAGTCTAAGGCCTCTCCACCGGGAAGCCAGGCAGTGATTAGGGGCAGGGGCCTTGCACTCAGGAGGGGACCTGGGTTCAAATCCTAGGTCTGTTGCTGAATTCTGGGTGACTTCAGACAAGGGACTTCAGCCACAATGTCATCACTGCAGCAATGTCCCATGGCTAGAGTTCAGGGCACCTCCAGTGCACCTAGCCCAGACAAGGCGAGTGTCCCTGTGCCGGCTGCCTCACCCACCTGAGTGGGATGAATCCAGAAGCAGGTTTCCCGGGGTGCAGAGGGGTGTGATTTACAATCCCGGGAGCAGCTGCTACGAATTTACACCCCCGCCACGTGTTGGGGACTGCCTGGGTCACCACAGCTGTGTGCACACAGGTTCTCTGGTTTTTGCCAATTCGATGGGGTGCAGTCTCCGAGTTCCACCCCACTCTCTTGTGCGTGGGGTGGAGCCCCTCTTCAGACACACGCACTGTTTCCCATTGGCGCAGGAACTCCCAGCACCACTATACACCAAGTGCCCATCCATCTGACAGCAGAGCGCCATGGCGGAGGCCTTCAGAACTGCCCCCTTATCCTGGTGAGGGGACAGGATCACCTCCCCAGGATAACATGGGGCTGGGCGTGGAAGCCACCAGAATATGCACCTCCTTGTGACCTGCTGCAGCTTCTGTCACTGCTAGACACGACCGTGACCCAGAGGGCCTCTACCTCCCCTTGGGCTCGACACTTGGATCCCAGGGTAGGGCTAGTCTTGGGGTTCCCAGCTTGGCCTTCCAGAGACAGGAGTCCCTGCCCCCTTGTCCCAGCCCTTGGCTGTCTCCCAGCCTCTCCCTTTTCCTGTTTTGATGCTGGCTCGGCCAGGCCCGGAGACAGGGCCATGATGCCTTAATCCTCTAGCCAGGAGCCATGATGGGCTCACCCACTTGCCAAGCCGACCTGCCCAGCACACACATCTGCTGCACCTGGCACAAGACACGGGACATGGGGGCTCCTGACCTCTGGGCACCCTGCCTTAGTGGGGAGGGGCCCCACAGAGGACCCGTGAAGCCCCCTGCCTCCCCCTCCAGGCGGCAGGTGGGGTGGGGACACTGGTTGCCTGCCCTGGGCTCAGCCCCCGCTGCAGGCACAAGACTCATAAATCAGGGGGTATCAGGGGCGTCGGAAATGGGTCTGTGGAATGTCGGGGTGGGGTGGGCTGGGGGTGTGGGCCCTTACCTCTTAGGAGGGCGGGAAGCGGGGCAGGAGGAACCCATGCCTGGACCAGAGGACGCGGTAGCAGAACTGGTGGGGGACATGGGGCCTTCTGGCGCGGAGGCCGGCAGGGAAGAGGTTAGCTCCCCAGCCCAGGAGGGGCTATAAATTCAAGGCACAGACCCCTCAAGACCTGCCGTCACAATGGCCTCAGGGATGGCCCTGCTCTGCACTCTACTGCTGCTGTCACTGCAGCTGGGCCTGGGCCCCAGTCACTGGGGGACTCTGATGGCCAAAGGAGAGTCCCTGCCTGAGCAAGCAGCGGATGCTGGAGGGACCCGGCTGGGTAAGGACCCTCGGGGGCCCCTGTGACTTCTCAACTCCCTCCTGCCCAGACCCTGCCCGGTGTCAGCGCCCCTCTCTCCCCCAGGCGCCCGCTGCTCCCCTGCCCGCCTTCGCCGAGCGCCAGCCAGCCCATGCCAGCTGTGGAGCCTGAACCTGCCGGTGGCGGAGTTGGGCCTGGGCTACACCTCGGAGGAGAAGGTCATCTTCCGCTACTGCGCCGGCAGCTGCCCCCGTGGTGCCCGCACCCAGCATGGCCTGGTGCTGGCCCGGCTGCGGGGCCAGGGCCGAGCCCACGGAGGGCCCTGCTGCCGGCCTACCCGCTACACCGACGTGGCCTTCCTCGACGACCGCCACCGCTGGCAGCGGCTGCCCCAGCTCTCCGCAGCTGCCTGTGGCTGTGGCGGCTGAAGGCGCCAGCCTGGTGCCCTGGAGCCCTGTGCCGGAGGAGCTCAGCTGACTTATTTATTGGGGGCCCAGGTGCAGAGAAGACCAGGAAGGCAGGTACCCCAGAGCGGCCGGCAGTGAGCACAATAAAAGACACCACCCCCCTGGCCTTGTGACTGTGTGTTCAGCCTCCACTGCCCCTGGGGTGCCCAAGGGCGAGCGCCACCCTGGGCTTCCCCGGCATATCCCAGCCCCGGCAAACAGCACGAGGGTGGCTGGGTTGTCCGTTCTCCACCTTTATTCACAAATCCAGTCTCTGCGGGAAGCTGGGGGACGGCGGGGTGTCAGCAGGCGGGGGGCGGCTGTGCGGGCTCCCCGGGCCCCATCCCCTCTGGGAGGGAGCGGCAGATGACGGAGATGCGTCGGCCTCGGGGAATCCGACGCTCCCCAAAAAAGGACTCTTCATCCCGAAGGATCTCGTGGGAGAAGTCGTAACGGGCTGAGCCCCTGTGGGAGAAAACGCAGGCTGTCACTGGGCAGGAGGAGGAGACCCTTTCTCCGGCCCGCCTGCCGCCTCTGGAGACACCCTGGAAAATCTGCTGGGGGGGCTGGATTGAGGGAGGCTCTCAAGGCTGCAGGGGGGCATCTGGCACATTCCTGGAGGGGTCGAGGCTCCCGGTGATACCTAAGGATGTAGAGGGAGCCTGGCTCCAGCAGGAGTTCCACCCACTCTCCTGGCTCCTGGGTGTGCACCAGCCGCATGACGCTGGAAGACAGGAGGGACAGGCCGGCGATGGTGGCCCCACAGAACTGGAAGAAGGGGTGTGGTGGTGCGTCAGGCTCCGGCCTGCCCTGCCCACCCCCCCAGCTGGGCACTCCGAGGCACTGGCTTCTGCCCACCTTGATGCTGTCCACGTGGGGCTTGATGTAGCCCTGCGGCTCCAGGTCCAGCACGTGCACCGGGGAGAGCAGGGTCTGGCCAGAGCCAAAGGCAGCCGCCTGCACGCGCTGCAGGATGGCCCGGCTGGCCTCTGACCAGCGCGACTTCTCTGTCTCCCGGAAGCCGTGGATGGCCTGCACAGAGGGCTCGGGTCAAGCCTGGGAGCTCACAGCGGGGGGGGGGGGACAGGGAAACTGAGGCAAAGAGGGGCAGAGCACAGGGCACGGGGCTGGTTCTCCCAGCCTGACTCGACCCCGCCCTCAACTCGCAGCCACCACCCTATCTAGGTCTCCAATTCATACAGGCTCCAATTCCTTGTCCCCAATGCTGGCCCTGCCCCCAGACTCAATTCTCAGCGTCTGCATACAACTGGATCCCACCAAGTCTCCAGTCTGTCCCCCCTCATCTCGCTCCAACCCGTTTCCACCTCTCGGTTCTAGATCCTGCCACCAGTTACAGCCCTGCTCCCAAAGTCCCCTTCGCCCAGGTCGCGCTCCTCCCACGGGCCGGTTCCAGCCCCGCCCCCAGCACTCAGGCCCCACCCCTTTCGCCAAGGCCCCGCCCACCGCGACTTCTGAAAGCCTGGCCCCGCCCCTGACGCCCTGGCCCCGCCCCCCACGCCGCCGCCGGCCTCACCGCGTCCCAGTGGTCGTATTCGTAGCGGCGGCGGCGCAGCTCGGGCTCCAGCTCCCGTCTCAGCGTCTCCTCCTCGGCCGCGCTCAGGAAGCCAGGCCGCACCACGGCCGCGTCCCGCAGTCGGCTCAGCACGGCCGGGCCCGAGCCCCGCACCCACCCCACCCCAGGCAGCGTCCTCAGCGCCAGCCGCCCACTCCCGGCCATAGCCCTGGAGCCGGGTCTTGGAAGCTGTCGGGGTAAGGGCAACGCCCCCCCCGAGCCATTGGCTGTGACTGCGCCAGTTCCCTCCAGCGATTGGCTTTTCTCAAAGTCCCGCCTCTCGCTCAAGGCTACTGGTTGCTGCTCGGCTCACCCTCTTAAGCTATTGGCTCCCCCAGAACCCGCCTTCTCTCACGCACTATTGGGCATAAACAATGCAGTGGCTTATACCATTGGCTGTGCCACATGTCCGTCTGTTGCCAACCCGAGCTCCGCCTCTTTTATTATCCGAGAGTCATAAAGGCCCAACCTAGCCGGTGCATGGCACAGGGACCAGGGCAAGATCTGGCTGGGGCCCGAGGTCAGGGGTCAGAGAAGGATTTGGGCCAAGGCTAAGGTCATACAGTCGGTTAGGGGTAGAGGTTAAGGGCAGAGTACAGTCAGGCTGAGATGAAGAGGTCAAGGTTACAGGGGTCAGGGGACTCACGTCAAGGGCACGATTATGGTGTGGGGTCACATGTGTACAGTTAGGGATCGTGGTCAAAGATCACAGCGAGGCATTGGCATCATTCATTTACCCCTTCCAGTAAGTATTATTATGTTTTTAGTTTTGAAAACGGCATTATGATTCTCTTTAAAGATTTCTCATCTATGCATGATGAAATACAGGTGAAACGATATCTGAGACTTGCTCTCAAATAATGTGCGTGCGTGTATATATATATATACTTTTTTAAGAAGCAAGGTCTCACTCTGTCACCCAGGCTGGAGTGCAGTGGCACAATCATAGGTCACTGCAGCCTCAAACTCCTGGGCTGAAGCGATCCTCCTGCCTCACCCTCCCCAGTAGCTGAGACTACAGGCGCGCTCCACCACACTCTAATTTTTATGTTTTTGTAGAGACGGGGTCTTGCTGTTGCCCAGGCTAGCCTCAAACTCAAGCCATTCTCCCACTTCAGCCCCCCAGAGTGCTAGGATTATAGGCCTGAGCCACTATGCCTGGCCTAAATAATGTATATATTTTATTTAATTTTGTTTTTTGAGACAGTGTCTCACTCTGTTTGTTGCCCAAGCTAGAGTGCCATGTCTTCAGCCTAGCTCACAGCAACCTCAAACTCCTGGGCTCAAGCGATCCTCCTGCCTCAGCCTCTCAGGTAGCTGGACTACAGGCATGCGCCATGATGCCCAGCTAATTTTCTCGATTTTTAGTTTGGCTACTTTCTATTTATAGTAGTGATGGGGTCTCGCTTTTGTTCAGGGTGGTCTTAAACTCCTGACTTCAAGCAATCCTCCGTCTTCAGCCTCCCAGAGTGCTAGAATTACAGGCATGAGCCACCACGCACGGCAAATGTATATATTTTAAATGGTCCATAATGAAAAGTTCAAACAACTGTAACTGATGAATGTAGCCCCTCTCCAATGCTCTGAATTTTAAAAAACAAAAAATTGACCATAATTCTCCCTCCAGCCACATCTCTGGTGAAGGCTGTCTATCTTTCTAGCTGCTTTGGGCCAACAGCTTGGAGGTTTTGGAAACTGCTCTGTCACATACATCTTACATCAGGCCTGCCTTTAAGACCTAGCTAGACTCCTCCTAGCACTTTGGGAGGCTGAGGATCACTTGAGGGCCAGTATGAGACCAGCCTGGGCAACATATCAAGACCCCAGCTCTATAAAAAAATTTGTTTAATTAGCCAGGTGTGCTGGCACATGCTTGTAGCCCCAGCTACTTGGGAGGCTGAAGTGGGAAGACTGCTTCAGCCCAGGAGTTCAAGGCTGCAGTGAGCTATGATCATGCCACTGCACTCCAGCCTGGGCAACAGAGTGAGACTCTTCTTCTAAAGAAAAAAGGTGGTATGCAGGTTTGTGTGAGAGAGTTACAGTTTTACATAGTGTGGTCAGAGAAAGCCTCACTGAGGTGGTGACATTTGCCCAAAGATACATAGGAGGTGAGAGACGGAGCCTTGTTAGTATCTGGAGAAAGGGCAGTCCAGGCAGAGGGCACAGCCAGTGCAAAAGCCCTCTGGCAGGTCTATGCCTAGCATGCAGAGGAACCGCAGGAAGGCCACCTTGGCCTCCCATGGTGCTGGGATCACAGGCGTGAACCACTGTGCCGGGACTCTTTTTTTTTTTTTTTTTAAAGTGTCTATCCCCACAGCATGGAAGCTCTCTGGGAACAGCTTTTTGTGTTTTCTTCACAGTATTCTGTGGCCTTCAGAACCGTGCCTTGACTGTAGTACGTGCCCAGGAGAGTCTGATAAAGGAAGGGAGGGTCCCAGTCTCGCTCAGAGCGGAAGCAGGAGGGCAAAGTGCGCACCAGGTGAAGTACGCATGTGTGCACACTTTCGAGGAGCAAGACGGAAGGTGCCTCAGACGCGGAGCAAAGAACACAAGAGGTTTAATTTAAAATCACAGTGTCTCAGCCAGGCTGCCCCGTCCACAGGGGGATCCCTCGGATCCAAAGTTCCTCAAGGGGCCTCTCCAGGCTCAGCAGCGAGGGGTCAGCAGGGCTCACGTAGGGGTCTGGCTGCACCCGGCCCCTCACCGTGACTCTGGAGATGAGGCTCAGCTCTCAGGAGCTTGCTGGGACAGGCTCCGCCACCGTCGCCACCACCACGGGCTCCTTCTGCACCAGCTCGGGCTCGTCCTCACCGTCCTGGGGAGGGTGGACCAGGACCTTGTCCAAAATGCCGAACTCCTGGGCCTCCATGGGGCTCATGTAGCGGTCCCTCTCCATGGCCGACTCTGGTGGGGGAAGCGGGACATGGTACATGTGAGGGTAAGAGCAAAGACCTGGGGCCAGGTCTGGCCTGAATGTTTCTGCCCCCCCAATTGCTGTGTTGAAGCCCCCCAAACCCCAATGGGAAGGTATTTAGAGATAAGGCCTTTGGGAAGGTAATTAGGGTTAGGTGAGGTCACGAGGGTGGGCCCCCCATGACAGGATTAGTGCCCTTCTAAGAAGAGACTCCAGAGTTTCCTCTCTCCCCATGTGAGGACAGAGAGAAGGTGGCTGCCTGCAAGCCACGATGGGAGCCCTCACTAGGAAGTGAATAGGCTAGCACCTTGATCTTGGACTTCCAGCCTCTAGCACTGTGAAAAACAAAATCTCTGCTGTTCAAACCACCCAGTCTATGGCATTTTGTTAGGCAGCCCAAAGTGATTAAGCCATGTCCTGATTCCGCTGATTCTTCCCTGTGACCTCGGTCTTCCTCACTCTGAGCCTTGGTTTCCCCATCAGTAAAATACCTATTTCAATTCTTTAACTTTTTATTGATGTATGACAATACATCCAGGAAAGGGCACGATTCATAAACGTACGGTGAGATGGACTCTCAGACTGAACATACCCATAGGACCAGCACCCGGACCAAGAAACAAAACATTGCTGGTGTCCCCCAAACCCTTCTTGGGCCATCGGTCACTAATGCTCACCACCTCCCCCATACCCCAAAGTAACCCCACCCTAGCAGCACAGACTAGCGCTGCCTGCTTTTGTCATTTAAACCACTGTTAATGCACCCATGCCACTGGCACCAGGCCAGTTTGGGGCTCCTACAAACTGGAATGCCGTCGAGTCCCTGTACACCTCTCATGGACACAAATGCCGCGGTCACACTGAGCAGGGGAACCGAGGGGAGCCTTTCTGCATGTTTAGCCTCAGCCGATAACGCCAAACAGCTTTCCAAAGCGGGCATCCCATTTCCACGCCCACCTGTAGTAGCTAAGCGTTCCAGTTGCTCCAAACCCTCCTCAGCATTTCATATTGTCAGTTTTTTGTATCCTTGTAGAAGATGGAAATGGTATCTCACTGTGGTTTTAATTTGCCTTTCCCTGATAACTTTTTTTTTTTTTTTTGAGGCAGAGTCTCACTTTGTCGCCCAGGCTAGAGTGAGTGCTGTGACATCAGCCTAGCTCACAGCAACTTCAATCTCCTGGGATTGAGCGATCCTCCTGCCTCAGCCTCCCGAGTAGCTGGGACTATAGGCATGCGCCACCATGCCCGGCTAATTTTTTCTATATATATTAGTTGGCCAATTAATTTCTTTTTATTTATAGTAGAGACGGGGTCTCGCTCTTGCTCAGGCTGGTTTCGAACTCCTGACCTCGAGCAATCCGCCCGCCTCGGCCTCCCAGAGTGCTAAGATTACAGGCGTGAGCCACCCTAATAACTTTTTTTTTTTTTGAGAAAGGATCTCACTCTGTTATCCTGGATAGAGTGCCATGTTATCATCACAGCTCACTGCAACCTCAAACTCCTGGGCTCAAGCGATCCTCCTGCTTCAGCCTCCAGAGTAGCTGGGACTACAGGTGCACGCCACCATGCCTGGCTAATTTTTCTATTTTTCTAGAGACGGGGTCTTGCTCTTGCTCTGGCTGGTCTCGAATTCCTGAGCTCAGATGATCCTCCTGCCTTAGCCTTCCAGAGTGCTGGGATTACAGGTGTGAGCCACCACGCCCAGCCTCCCTAATAACTGTTGATGTTATTATTAAACATCATCACTAAACATGATGAAAATCCACCCTGAATAAAATAAAGGCGGGCGGCCGGGGGCCTGCCCGGGGCAGGGCACTCACCGATCACCTGCAGGCTCTGCCTGGTGTGCTTGGCGTAGATGTTGTAGAGTTGCTTCTTGAGCTTCAGGATCTCCTCCGCCTGGATGGCGATGTCTGTGGCTTGGCCCTACGGGACGCCCCGAGTGCGGCGAGAGGCCAAGGCCAGAGTCAGTGTCGGCCCTTCACGAGGAGGCTCGAGGCGAGCACTCGGGAGCCCTCCCTGGGCTTCCGGCTTCCAGTTTTCAGGCGGGTGGGACGGGGATCTGCGAGTCCCTCCATGTCCTGCGTCATTCTTGCTGCCACCAGGAAGGCTTCCTGACTGTACTAAGGATATTTTCTTATTTTCTGCATCTGGGCCTTGCAGACTGGGGAGGAACTGCCCCTCCCAGGGCTAGCTAATCCTTGGACACAGGAAACAACTCACCTTTGTGCCTTTCAAATGCTGACAGCCAATCCAGCCCCCACAGCCCCCACCGCCTCCCTAATTGGGCTCTGACATGCTGGGCCACTGCCCTCCCCCTGCCCTAATCACCCCAGGGCTGGGTACCAGACAACTGAGGGCAGTCTCTATA